ATGATCAAATACTAGTTAAATATAAATATGACTAAATTTGACTTCTAGTATATATGCAATTAAATATGATAGATTTAGTGATTTTGCTAATTAAAATATATAAAGTGTAAATATGTAATAAAAAAGATATTTCGTAGTGGGCTGGGTAATTTTGAGTTTACCCTATTTAAAGCTACTAATATGGGCCTCAACTTTAAGATGGGTTGTGGGCGGTGCTGATGTTCTGTAAGACATTCCAAGCCCGCAAGACTCTTGTCAAAACGTGCCTGCACCAATGGGAATGGCCACCGCCTTTAGGTCCGTTAGCTACCGTTTTTTAATTTTCGATTTTGTAATACTGAGTTGGACGGGCAATTTAAAAAAAGCAGAGTGCAAAACCTAATCTGTAATCTCCCAAGTCCCAATTTCTCCCAAATCATAAATTCCTAGTGAAAAAAACCCTAGCGGCGGCGGCGAGGCGGCTTCATTCCGGCGATACATTCAGGTAATGATGTATGAAATTTTTGGCTTTGAATATTTTGTGTGGTGCCTTTGAATTTCTTTGATGTAATTTGATTCTATTTCATGGTTGGTGGACATGTAAGCTTTAAAGTTTGTATGGCTTTGTGTTTTATATGTTTAGATTCGAGCTTGTTGATGGACTTGGTAAATGGTTGTTGCCTTTATGGTAGTTTATTTACATTTTTTAATGGTTGGACTTGTTGATGGATGTGTATGGTTCACAAATTTTCTTTGTTGCCCAATTCAATTTGTTTTACTGAGCAGTATTCATTAATTTGACCTTAAATTTTTCAAAAGGGAAAGAGATGGAAACAAAGATGATGGATGCAGAGGGTGAGGTCATGAATTTTGGTGTTCTAATGTCTTTGAAGAGGTCTATTGATGTCATTGACACCGCCGACGAAGCGGGTGGGGTTTTGTACAAAAAAGTCCAGAATTTGGATGCCATTGACGATGATGAAGTCTATGAAGATGACATCGACACTTCTGAAGAGTAGGAAGACGACACCTATACTTTTGATTACTACAATAATGATGACTTCCGCTTCTTTGGTGTAGATAAGATTGTATTGATGAAACACATATGGATTATTTTTCTTGTCGATTGTTTGTTGTTTTTGCTGCTGCTTTACATATTTTAATTATTCTTTTTGCAGGTTGATGAAACTCCCATCCAAAAGACTCTCATGGTATATGTCTTCTTTTCGTTTCCGCTTGTTAGTGGTACCCTAATTAGCTTATGTTAGCGCATTAAAAACAACTGCAATTATTTTATGGAATGTTAATAAGCGTCCTCTATTTGAATGGCGATTTAAGTTTTGATCAGAATAATGATGTCAGAACGATCAGGCAGGCAACTTTTAAGTCTTTTCGGATTTTTGAAAGATAATCCTATTAGTGTTTTGAATGAAGGACTATTCTGGATTCAAATCTGAAAGAAAACTGCCTACCCCTTGGCACGCTTATGTGTCAATTGTGTAATTTTTTTTTCCATAGTTTTATCTTTGTTTGTAATATGCAAATGTTAGTGTCTTTGTGTCCACTCATCTATCATTACAAGTTGTGAGTTAGTACGTCGTTTTGATAATGTTTGTTCACCTGTTTATCAGTTGAAATAGTAAATAAATGCTGGTTATTTAGATCAATCTCCTGCCATCAATTTTGGAGTTCTTGTTATGAATTCTTATGGTTTTCCTTCTTACCTTCTGTTCTCTAATAAATTCAGCTTAGTCAGTTAATATTTTTACCTAATTACTATTTAGAGCGGCATCAGAACGGATCTGAATTTATTGCTGAAAAATTGCACTTGTTTGTAGAGTCCACGTCATATGATGATGTATTCCAGACTACAAGGCAAACTGAATGATGAAGATCCCCTTGAGAACCTTTTTAGGGACATTCTTACAATTCTTAAAAAGTAAAGCTTTACTAGTGATGATGCTTATTGTTTTAATGAGAAGGTGAGGCAAATCTTGGAGAATGATATTGTTCTCGATTGGCTGAAGGAGGAAGCTGATGAATCTGTAATGGATGAATTTGAGGTATGTTTAATGTCGTCCTTTCGGCTCTCCCACACATGATAGAAAATATCATTTAAACCAAAATCATTTCTTATTGTTACAGGTTCTATGCATTTTTGCACCGTTGAAAACTCTTTCAATGGGTACTGAAGGCGAGTCGGGGCCTTGTCGCTCAGACCCTTGAGGCGAGGCGGGGTTTGCAAAGGCGTCGCCATGGCGTCGCCTCGGCTGTAGCGCTACATAGAGCGAGGCGACGCCTTATAAATTTGAGGCTAATTAACCACAATTACTTTCGCAAACACAAATTTACCTTGGGGATTCTCTTCCAACTGTGACGGCGACCAACTTTCAGCAGCCCACCGGCGACGGCTATGGCGACGGCGAGAGGTAAATATTGTTTTTTGTTTGCTTCCTTTTCCTTTTTCTTTTTTAGATGAAACGTCGAGCCTGTTAAAGTTTTGAGATTTTTTTTTATTAATTTATGATGAATCCAAGTGGGCCTGGAACCTTTTTTAAGGTTTTAACATGTTTTATTCTATTTATCATGTTTATTTTATTCAAACAGTGGGGACTTTTGTTAAAGTTTTGTAACATGTTTATTTTTTTTATTTTTTATTTATCCACGGGGGACCTATGCATTATCATTTATAGCATATTTTAATTGAAAGTTTTGGTATCATGTGGTACGATTGACCTTATTTTAATTGGGATCATGGTGGAGCTAATCATGCTTATTTCAACATACCTTTTATTTTATCTTAATTTATTTTAATGTTAAATAATTGGTTCTTGTACTTATGTTTTTTATACTTTATTTATTGTTGTTTTCATTTTAATGTGTGGTGTTTTATTGCATATTTATTAGCTATTATAATTTATATCTACATAAATAATTGTGTCATAATTTGGTAAAAATGTCTCATATACAACTATACATATATTTTTTTTTTTTTTTTTTGTAATGGCTCGCCTCGCTTTCATATGGCGGGCGCCTCGCCGCACGCCTCACGCCATGGCAAATTGGAGCCTTGTCGCCTTGGCTCGCCGCGTGCTATTTTAATCACTGTACTGAACGTTGAGTAATTCGTACTCAAGAGAAGGTTGAAGAACGAATGATTCTTATCAAAGGTGATACCTACTTTGATCGTGCATCCGGAGGAGAAAATCGTGCGGGTGTTGTAAGGTTGTCTCTTTAACATGTTATTATATTATGTTCGTGCATTAAATATTTTAGCTATGGATATTTTCATACCAATCGAGTTTTTCTCTTCTCTCACGGGGTGATGTCCATGATATTCGGATACTGTGTGACGACCTCTGTGAGAATATTGTGAGAAGATTGGGTTGCAGGACTATTTCTTCTCTGAGAAATTTCAGGCTCCTATGTGGATATGATTGCACTTTTAATTTACCTGTCTCATTGTTACTATTAGGTGATAAACACCTTCTTTAGTGGAGAACAATGGAGATGCATACTATCACTACAGGAATAATCATTTTTAGTGGCGAAAATTTTTGTCGCTATATATTCAAATGTCGTCACAAAAAATACCGTCGCTATATGTTCGAATGTCGTCACAATAATCATTTTATAGTCATGACATTAATGTCGTCACTAAAATTAGTGTCGCTAATAATGATTATTCTTGTAGTGTATCCCATTGGAATTCTTGAGGCCTTTTTTGTGGTTGACGTGTAAACTTCCCTATCTAAACCAGTCATCTCATTGTTAGTCCTCGCCTTATGTTTACTATTGTTGATGTTATATATGCATATGCTTTTATTATGATAGCAATTGTTTTCAGCCCGCCATCATGCGTAGCCAAACATATGAAAACTTTCCCACCGTCAGTGGATATTTAGATGAAACACCCTTGTGGTATACCAACATTTAACATAATGTAAGGTGCGCATCTTCTTAGAGTGGCGCATGGAGATATTGTATCCGTGGCTAGGTGTTCTTTAAACTGCTCTTTTCATTTTGATCCGGCTTTTGTGTGTAGCTAGTAATGCTTTAGCCTTGAAGGTTTGGGAGGGGAAGTAACTTGTCACTTCCCCGGTTGAAGGATTCATGCATTTGTTTGTGTGATTTACCTTTGGTTTGTAGTTTGAAAATTTCTTTGAGTTTTATGTTGTGCTTCAGTTTGTTAGTTGGAAAAAAAACAAGTAAGGTGCGCATGTATATATCAATGAATATTTATGTGCGCATGTTGTTGCCATATATCATACAATATGGTTTGTGTACGCAATTGAAATTTACACATAAGTGGCTTGGAATTTATATATTGAGTTTTAGTGAATAGTCTACTAGATTCATATAATAATGTTGTTAATTATTCATGTATTCCATGTACACCTGTTTGGGTGATCTTAACATGTGATTTTATTCGTCATAATATATATATGATCATCAGAATACGTAACGAGCTTAGAATATTTACTTATTAGTAATTTAAGAGATGTTATTTACTTGCTTACTTTAAAGGATTTCAAAAATGGAGTATTTATGTTATAAAAATTCTATATTAAAATTTACTTGCTTACTTTAAAGGATTTTCATTACTGTTAAAAAAAATTTATATTGTGTAAAAATTATAATTCTTATTAAAATTCTTTTTACAAAAATAGGAGCATTACTCAAATTCATACAAATTTGTATGAAAATAGATAAAATCAGGATGATTCCTAAAAAAGAGGAACTTCAGCAAGAAAAAGTTTTGGACAAGAAGTTGGTGGTAAAAGAATTCTATGAGGCTGACTATCACATCACAAAGGATGTGGAGGACTACGTAGCGGTTTTGGCTCGCCTTAGGGATCTTCTGGGGGTTATCACTAAAGATGGATACCGGACGTTGCCGCCGTGCATAGTAAACGGGAAAAATCACGTTTGACTACGTCTCCATTATGGGGTCAACGAGTCATTCGTGGTCTTTCTCCGAGCGTCAAATTTGTACTTAATAGGATACTAGACCTCAAAAAATGTTGGTAAGATTAAAGCCTGACAGTAGAATGGTTGAGGAGATTGAGACGTTATCGAGTCTTGATGACGAGAACCGAAAAAATGCACCAGAACCCGTTCATTTAAATTTTGGTGTTTCCTATCATAACATCATGGCAAATTCCGGGTTGACTAGCCTAGATAAACTAGCAGTCGAATTTTAAATCCCTACACAAGGCATCCAAATATTTAGGTGGGGAGGTTGAGAAGGGAAATAACCGAATTGGTTCATTCTTTTTGACGTTAGTGATAATGTTTTGCAAAGAAACTAGGTTTGGATCTTAGAGGATTGTATTGTCCAATCTTTTTTGGTGATGCAAATGTCCAAATGGCAATACAAATGGTTATATTACTGGGGTATAGTATCTGAAATTATATTAATTGGAACAAAGGAATAAGAATGCAAACTCAAGGAATTCAAGCTTAAGTTGAGGGCTTTACACAGTGGATGGACTCTTAGTAACCTTAGAAAAAGCTAAAGAAATTATTGCCATTATGCGACAATAATGGCAATAATTTCTTTAGCTTTTTCTAAGGTTATTAAGAGTCCATTCCACTGTGTAAGGCCCCAACTGAAGCTTGAATTCCTTGAGTTTGCATTCTTCTTCCTTAGTTCCAATTAATATAATTTCAGATATTTTACCCCAGTAATATAACCATTTATATTGCCATTTGGACATTTGCATCGCCGAAAAAGATTGGACAATACAATCCTCTAAGATCCTAAACCTACCTAGTTGCTTCGTAAAACATTATCTCTAACGTCAAAAGGGATGAATCAATTCGGTTATTTCTCTTCTCAACCTTCCCACCTAAATATTTGGATGCCTTGTGTAGGGATTGGAATCCGACTGCTAGTTTATCTAGGCTAGTCAACCCGAAATTTGCCATGCATGAGGTTATGGTAGGAAGCACCAAAATTTAAATCAACGGGCTATGGTGCATTTCCTCGGTTCTCGTTATCAAGACTCGCGAACATTAAGTCAATCTCCTCAACCATTCCACTGTCAGACTTTAATCTTACCAACACATTTTTTGAGGTCTCGTATCCTATTAAGTACAAATTTGACGCTCAGAGGAAGACCACGAATGACGACCCCGTAAATGAGACATAGTCGAACGTGATTTTTCCCGTTTACTGTCCACGGCGGCAACGTCCGGTATCCATCTTTAGTGATAACCCCAGAAGGTCCCTAAGGCGAGCCAAAAGTTCTCCACATTCTTTGTAATGTGATAGTTAACCTCATCGAATTCTTTTACCACCAGCTTCTTGTCCACAACTTTTCTACTTGCTGAATCTCCTCTTTTTTTAAGAACCATCCTGATATTCCCGTTTTCACACAGATTGTATGAGTTTGAGTAATGCTCCTATTTTTGTAAAAAGAATTATAATTTTTACACAATATAAATTTTTTTTAACATTAATGAAAATCATACTATAACATAAATACTCCATTTTTGAAATCCTTTATAGTAAGCAAGTAAATAACATATCTTTTAAATTACTAATAAGTAAATATTCTAAGCTCGTTGCGTACTCTGATCATATATATATTACAACGAATAAAATCACATGCCAAGATCATCCAAACAGGTGTCCATGGAATACATGAATAATTAACAATATTATGATATGAATTTAGTAGACTATTTACTAAAACTCAAGATATAAATTCCAAGCTACTTATGTGTCCAAACAAATGTCCATGGAATACATGAATAAAATCACATTACTGCACATTGTTGTCTGCATGCTCACAACCTGTTCCAACCTAAAGCTAACAATATGTTTGAGTTTTACTTTTGATTCAGTGCCCAAGTCAGTTCTCTCTTTAGTTCAACTGTGAATGAACACACTTCCTTTGTCATTCATATAACATTTTTCATGTTTTCTCCATACATTCATTTGTGATTGTTTGAGCAATTTTATGGTAATCACCATGAAGAACCTTCAACCTTGATACCAATTTACCTTTAGCTTTGCAGTCAGTTCGTATGCCTTGATTTGAATTTGATTTGAGTTTATAACGGATTTGCCTTTTCTTTTGTTCATTATTGTGCTTTATAATAAGTACTTCTTGTATTTTCCTTATGTGCAGATAATATATCATCAGAATGACCACAGGCATGATGGGCAAAGATTGTCGATGCTGCAAACAAGGTACTTCTTTTTAGGTTTGTTTATTTGCTTATTCATTTCAAACTTTCAGGTCATGTGATGCACAATCAATTTTGCACAACTCCATTTGTTACAGGAAGTAAATGGAAGTACACACAAAGACAAGAAGGTGACCGTTGTTTTTGTTCTAGGTGAATGCTTTGCAATTAACGGTTGCTTGTGGAAGAACTTTTTCTACCTTGATTTAGCTCACTCTCTTTCCATGTATTTCTGGCAATTAGAAATACCTCATGTTCCTGCACAAAGTTTCTCTAAAATTCTTTCTTTTGGGTTAAGAATATCATGACAACTTTCTTACATTGTCTGTTCTTAATATGAGCAGGTGGGCCAGGCAGTGATAAGGGCATTCGGTGTGCAATTGTCAAAAATTCTGTTAATACTCATCTCAGTGCGGGTGATCTTCTCCGAGCAGAGATAAATTCTGGTTCTGAAAATGGGTACAATTTTAGTGTTGTTGCATTTGTGTTTTGTGCAAAATACAAAAAAGAAAAATTGTGTTTATTTTTAAAGTAACTTGAATTGTGACTTTTATTATATACGTATATATATGTGTATGCATGACAATGATTCAGAACATGATTAAGGAGGGAAAAATTGTGCCTTCGGAGGTAACAATTAAGCTTCTCCAACGAGCAATAGAAGAAAACAGCAACGACAAGTTTCTAATTGACGGCTTTCCTCGCAATGAGGAAAATTGTGCAACATTTGAATCTGTAGTAAGTCCATTTTTTTAATGTATGTCAGTCTCGACATATATTTGAATATATCTATATAATTCTGGAGAATAATGCATATGCAGTGCATGACACATGTCATTTGATCATGAATCCAAGTAGGTTTATCGGCTAGTTTTCCTTTTCTTTTAATGCAGACTGTGATTGAGCCATAATTTTTACTCTTCTTCGATTGTCCAGAGGAGGAAATGGAGAGGCGCCTATTGAGTAGGAACCAGGTACACTCCATCTCTACTGTTTATTTTTTTCTCTTTTTTATATATCGATTCATATTTATCATTGTTGTTTATTTATTCCGTGCATGTCTTTGTTTTCATGCTTGCATGGTAGAGAAGACGCAACATGAGACCATTAGGAAGAGATTTATGGTGTACATGTAGTCTAGTCTCCCGGTGATAGAATATTACACTACTAAAGGGTTAAGCAACACCAGCATTACACCAGATCAAGCGCAAAGAAAGTTATATATTTTGTTGGAGGTCTGAGACAACCAGCAAGATGTTGCTTGCGTATTTTGGACAACATGGAGGAGGGTTCTGTTGCGTATGACAAGGATTCTAACAAATCCTGGTAAAAGGGACGCCTTTTCTTGTTCATTTTCTTTAATTAAAAACAGAATTCTGACTGATCTGATTAGTTTCGTTTGCTTTGAAGTGGCTTCGTATTCGTCACTTACAGGACTGTCGAGGCTGCAAAGAAAGCAATTGATGACCCACAAATGATGCTTGCAGTGAGGTTTAGTCAAATTCATTAAAAGAGATCTGCTTCTTCCAGAAGTAGATATATTCCTTAAATCTGTGTTTTGATTTCACAGGTTGCACCCTCAGCATGTTTATTTGCTAAAACAACTCGAACCTGAATAGGTGGTTTATCACTTCATTATTATAAATTACATGATATCCCTAATATAAATTTGTAAGCATAAATGTGCTACATCTTGACCGTGTCAGTTCCATACTGAACATAATGTTTGTTGAATATGATTGTTTTAAAAAATGGCAGAGAAGAAATATCACGGTGAAATTTGATTAATATTTGTATAATTATTATTAGTGTTAGATAATTGCTAAACTAGAATAATAGCAACTCTTGTATCTAACCTATAAATAGGCAATACAAATAATGTATTTTTATATATTTCAATGGTGTCATCTGAGTTGTATTTTATTTTATAGACCTACTAGGTAGAGATGTAAGAATCCATGATGATCTCTTTCATGACTTTATAGCCTTAAATGATCACAGGACTTGCACAATGCACCAATTTCTTCAACAAATCCTGTTGTAGCCCCTCCAATCCCAGACAATTCAGGTGTTTCTTATCCTCTCTCTTTAGATGATGCCATGAGTTACAGAATGCACCAAGTTCTTTAACAAATCCTGTTGTGGCCACTGCAATCCCAGACAATTCAGGTATTTATAATCCTCTCTTGCTTGGCAACTAGAAACATGTCAATGTCTTACATAATAAATCATCTGAAGTACTATGTAATAAACCTCCTACCTATGATTACCTTAGTCATATGCATCCACCTTAACAGATCTAAAATTTGACTCAAGTGTATATTTCTTGGGCATCTCATAAGTTGTAAGGGCTACCAACTCTACAACCTTGATACTAAGAAAACAGTTATATCCAGAAATGTGTATTTCTATGAAAAAATGTGTTTCCTTTTCAAACTAATCAATCTCATGACCATCTTTTTCCTCCAGCACCAACATTTCATTATTCAGATCCTACTAATCCTCTTGTTTCCAATATTCCTGCTATCCAAGATGCTTGGATATAAATCTTTTGGGTTTTATAATTCATCCTTTCAGCTATCCAACACATGATAGAGAATATCATTTAAACCAAAATAATTTCTTATGTTTACAGGTTCTATCCATTTTTGCAGCATTGAAAGGTCTTTCAAAGGGTACTGAACGTCGAGTAATTCCTACTCCAGAGAAGGTTGAAGAGCGAATGGCTCTTATCAGAGGCGATACCTACTTTGAATCGTGCATCCGCAGGAGAAAATCGTGAGAGTATTGTAAGGTTGTCTCTTTAACATGTTATGTTTGTGTATTAAATATTTTAGCTATGGATATTTTCATACCAATCGAGTTTTTCTCTTCTCTCAACAGCGGGGTGATGTCCATGATATTCGGGTACTGTGCAACTCCAGTTTACCTCTGCGAGAAGATCGGGTTGCATGACTATTTTTTCTCTGAGGAATTTCTGGCTCCTATGTGGATATGATAGCAGTTTTCTCTGTCTCCTTGTTACTATTCTGTAAATTGCTTTTTTTAATGGAGAACAATGGAGATGCATACAACATGCTATCCCACCTTTTGTTTACTTTGAATCTAAAGTAATTTTTTTTTTCTAGGACGATAAATTTCATTAATAAATGTACAAATTTACTTTATTTTACTCCGCTGGATCTAGTTGGGAGGAATCCCCTAACTAGTGTGTCTTAGGCGGAGACGAAAGGATATAAATTTTTTACTTGTAATCTTAGTGTCCTTTTTAAATGTAAAGTAATTAAGTTATTGTTTTTTTACTAATGTTGATGTTATATAAGCATATGTTTTTATTATGAAAAAAAATTGTTTTCAAGCCGCGGATATCCTCGCGATCCACGAAAGTTGCAAATTCAACATTAGGGAAAGTTTTCATATTTCTGGCTACACATGGCAGCGGGCTGCGAATCTTGAGGCGCAGCTACTTCTGCGGGCGATGGTAAACAAGATTTGCCCGAGAATAGCCAGCTGCGTGCCCGTGCACCGCTGGCTCGTATGAGCTTATCCGAATTCGAAATCGAGTTCTGTTTTTTTTTTACCCGTCCCCAACGAAAAGAGTTCTAACAATGCTAAAAATTTGGGTCAAGTGAGATTTGGTTTTGTTCCGGCGATGGTTATTAGCAATATTTTCCTACAAAAACGAAATATAAAAGTAGACGAAAAAAAATACAAAAATAAGCTAATAACACGAAGATAAACAAACAAAGAAAATCAACTTAATGGACTGAAAAAACTATAAGAATAACTCAGAATAAACTAACCATAAAACTATACAAAATTACAAACAAAAACACGCACAATAATTCCCCACACTTATCATTTTTGTTTGTCCTTAAACAAACAACATTGCACACTGTTTGGGAAGAAAGACAATTAAACTCATTTCTTGATGTCACAATGTGCGTGATCCTCATATACACCCGATAATTCTTATGATAAGACATAATTTAAAGATGTTATGACTTTTTGCCAAATTTATGTGGTTTTGAATGAGTTATAATATAAATTAATTTTATGATAAAATGAAACTTGTATTCAAATGTCCATATAAAAATATGGACTCGAGTTTTTTTCCGAACATTCTAACGATCTATATGAATTTCTCTATAAATATTTCAATCTTTACGATTTTTTTGTAATTGACTTAAATAATTTGAATTTAAAATAAAAATTGTATGTTTGAAAGGCGACACAATTCAAATTACATAAAAAATACTTTCAAATATAGTAAAACTAAGAAGTTTAGGCGGTATTTTCTTACTATGTAAGGCTTTTTATACATTAAATATAATACATATATAAATTTGTTAAATAATTGTGAAATCATTGTTTTTATGAATCATTAAATTTTTTAAAAATATATTATCGAGAATGGGAAAAATAAATAGTGTAATACATCTTGTTCCAATAAAGTGGGTCGGTTGAGATTGACCGTCGACGGCCCTCGTCATCGTCTTTCTCCCCTCCGTTCTCCGCCGCCGGCAAATCGCGGTTCCCTCAGCTTCTTCCGACCGGAAACTACTGAGATTCCTGCCATTTGAGCTGTAAATAATGGGAAGACGAAGAAGAAAGTGCAGGCTATGGTGGCCAAGCAACCTCTTGTCTCCATCTTCACCCAATTCAAGTTTCTTGTTCGGGTGGTTCATTCCATCTTCCGAAGAATCAGTGGACGTTGTCGTATCCTTTGCCTGCGATGAGCCCGAACTTACTTCGTTGATGGGTCCTTGTTCGGATCTTCAGGTACACTATCTGGGCTTCTTTGATTAGCTGATTATTTAGTTCAGTAGATCAAATTATGTACTTTTTTGTTTCGTGATGGGTGCGATGTGTATATGGAATTTGCGGGATGTGTTCAGCTCACGAGAAAATTGGAAACCGTACTCAAATTCTTGATCTTTCAGCTTCGTGATATTGTCTTGAGGATAGTGGCTTTTCAAAAATTGGGGTAGATTTAACAATGGTCTAGTTTCAGTTAACACAGCCCACGAAACTGTTGGTGTTGGATTATTGGAAATTATGCAGTTCGTGCTTTGTTGCTCGTACCAGTTATGTTTGAGCTGCATTTCACAGACTCGCATGCATTTGTAAATGTATATGTGTGTTTGTGCTGAATTGAGTGAATGATTATTGGTCGTATTTTGCTAGCTTTAGCAAATAAGTGAACTGATTTGGGTTTTTAGAAGTCTACTTGCAATAATGGCTGCTTTAGTACCTATGTGAATCGATGTGGGTTTTAGGAAGCCACATTCAACAACAGCGGAAGCTGCATTGGTTATGCTTAGAAAAGAATACACGTAAAGAAAGGAGTGTGTGATTATAGCTAGATTTGTAGTATGTCCATTAGGTACTATCAGCAATTTTTCCTTTCAAAATCTGAAGTAAAGAAGTTGTAGACATTGCTCATCGATGATAAAAAAATGAAAGAATTTGGAGCTAGAGAAGGTATCTTGTGTGGTGTGCAGTTTGCTTGAAGTAGAAAGTTGCGTTGTGATTGTATGCTATTATCACGTCAGATAGTATATGTGCATTGTGTGTTTCAACTATACTCACATTGACATACAGCTCAAGGTTTTGCATTTAGCCGCAGAGAGATTGGCTTGTCTAATGGAAACCACTCAGTTTCTGGCTTTCTGCAGAAGCATATGTTTATTCACTTTGCATTGACTGGTTTACCTGTTACTACATTAAATTTGATTTAGGAAGTACTTTTGGGGACAAATGAGAGCATGACTCCTCTTCAAGATAAAAGCAAATTCCACCTGCTAGGACTCTGTGAAGCTGATGCAAGTGCAAATGGGGATTTGGTTAGATTTAAAAAAAGTGACAAAACTGTGGATTGTGTGAGCTGGAACTGTGGATGCTCCAAAAATGTTAGCGTATTCAAACGAGGTAGATTTTCTGCTCAAGAAAACACGTGGATAAGGCTCTTTTACAGTCCTTCTGAAACTGCTGAAACTGCTGATGGAAAAGTTCTTGTCATACCTAAATTGGATCATCTACATATGGACAGTGAACCAACGTCCCATCTAGATCTTCACGTATGTAAGTCATATTCACTTGTACAAACACGATTATTTTCCTCTTTCTATTGCTCTTATTATATATAGCTTAATACAAGTTCCTGATAACTTTAGGTGATACTGTATGACATACCCACTTTTGGCGGTCACCATTACTCCCTGGGTAGTCATAGTTTATCCAACCCTGTTCAGCCCACATACAGGAAGCCCAAGTGGTTTGACGAGCTTCAGCAAAAAAATGCACGCCTAGACTTGGTAAATATTAGTTTAAATTGTTGTGTCTGAAAATTTATTTTATTTGTCATATATTTTTTATTTATATTTTTCCTAAATGCTTTTTTATACCCTTTCGAAAAGGATACTGTCATCCAGGCAATGAACAGTGCCTGTGCTGCTCGGATATTGTTTAATGGACATCAGCAACCCAAGTCTGGTTTTCCCAATTTTTTTCGCTTGTAAGTTAAGTAAAATCATTATTGTTAACTTCTCTTCTTCCTCTCTTTCTTATTCTTAATGTCTACTTCCTTTATGTCTTGCCAGGGTCTCTACCGTCACATGGAAACTATTTGCTACATGTGTTGCGTCACTTTCAACTGTCATTTTTATTATTATTCAGTCTTCGCGAGTTCTTTTTGGTTGGTTTTCCCGCATGTATATAGATGTCTTATTGGAGAACGTATTTAGCAATACATCGAAGAACATCCACTTCCGCTGTTGTCAACTCTTGTATTGGCCTCTCTCTCTCCAGGATCAAAGTATAAGGTAAATTGGCAAAGTATAGCTTCTTTGCTTGTGTTTTCATCATTCATCTGATATTTTGAATTACTGAGATGATTCGAGATATCATAATTACCTGTGCATGCCTTAAGAAATAAATTATAAACAGAATCAATAGAGACTAACTTGGTTGCATAAATACAAGGAAAATACTAAATTTTGTTATATTTCTTTGAACATGGGAGAGATACACCTTCGATTCAATATATTTTGTACGTGGAATATTAGGTATGGAATGCAAATTGTTTCATTGAGCATATGCTATGAGTCTATCCTTCTCCCATTCCCAATCTTTTGCATGCCAACTTGTCTGTAAATTTTAACCATTAGCCATTATAATTTATGATGCTCGTTATTTATTATGATGTTCTCTTAGATAAATTACCTTACTATTTTTTTTCCATTTTTATAGGGATTGGTCATCTGTTGAGGTGGCAGAAAAAGTCTCATTCGACAAGCACTCGATGTGGTCCAATGTCATGGTTGATATTTTTCTGGGTAATATTTTTGGCATTACCCTGTGGTTTATGGCTGAACCTGCTTGCTCATGGGTTTCAAAATTCTCTCAAGACTTCACTAACGATTGGCTGCGAACTGGGTGCGTGTGGCTAATGGGAAATCCGGCTGGTTTTAAGTTGAATACAGAGCTAGCAGGAATTCTTGGAATGATTTGTCTGAATGCTATTCAAATTTGGTCAACCCTTTGGAGTTTCATGGGATTTCTCTTTGTTTACTTCACAAAAGGACTTTCTCTCTGCGGGGTTGTATTTGGCTTGACATCAGCGGCAGCTCTAATCGTTGATGTGATTTCACTAGTGACGATGCATGTTTTGTCTCTTCATTTATTCTTTTCATTTATCTATTCGACACAGATACGGGCACTAGCAGCCTTGTGGCACCTTTTCAGGTAACTAAGTTATTGAATCATCTATTTCCCTATTCTCCTCTCCATCTTGAATAGGTTTCAACTTTTTTTTGTGGCTTTTAATACAGAGAGACAGATGAAAAAAAAAAAAAAGAAGAAGTTATCATGTCCTTATTAAAAAATTTCATCCACTTAATGCAGTAAAATAGTTTTGATCCCAGAACATTACGGGTGAAAGAACTGAAAATCAGAGTTTGAGTGGTTAAAAAAGGGGTGGTCCTGGTATAAAGCACGAACTGGCAATTGTTTTGTCATTGTCATGTACTCCAAATTAAGGTAAAAGTCAAAATATAGGCTATGTATGGTAACCAATTTAGCTAGCTTATAGCTTATTAGGTTAGTTTATAAGCTTCCTGTGTTCAAATAAGCTTCGTTTGGTAGAACGAACTTTTTAAAAAAACTCGAGCTTATCTGATAAGCTTCTTTGAGTAGCTTTTCAAATAAGCTCGTTGAAATTTTTATTTCAGCTAGCTTATCAGTTAATTTTACCTAACACTTCTATCATATAAGGTAGCTTTTCAGCTTTAAGTCACAAGGTATAAGCTATAAGCTCGAAAATCACTTACAAGCTATAAGCTAGCTTATCAACTAGTTTTACCAAGTATAATTGGACAGTGATTTTTTTTTATTTTTTTTGGTTTGAGCACTAACAGGTGAAGAAAAGGATTTTTTACTAAGAAATTTGNAAAAAAAAAAAAAAAAATCTTGGTTGGAGTGGACTAAATGGCAATTATATCAAAAAGTATTAGGGTGATGATTCTTTGATTATTTTTTCTAGTTAGCACTAATGAAGTGTCGATTAAATATGCATGTTAAGTAATATACACTGTGATTATGGTGGTAACTAATTCAATCTAACCCAGTAACTGGTGAACTAATTGCGCAGTGGTAAAAAGGTAAATCCTCAACGTCACAGACTGGATAGCTATGATCACACGGTCGAGCAGCACGTAGTTGGATCTCTTCTGTTTACACCGATTTTACTTCTTCTGCCAACAATATCGGCATTCCATATATTCTTTACCATTTTGCACACGACTATGACCCTTATCTGCGTATTCATAGAGGCTGCTATATCATTCATCCACTTCACTCCCTATGCAAAAGTTTTTATCTGGCTGAGAAGTAGGAGTAGATTTCCATGTGGGATCTGGTTCGAAATTACAGCTTGTCAACATTCTGAATTTAGAGCTGTAAATGGCGGTGGTAATTTATCCTCTGAGAAGCTGCAAAAAGTAGATTATGCTAGCAGCAGCCACGGATCCAGTGTTTTGGTTTCATTTCTCCACAGCAATTATTTGAACTTGGGTAATATCATGAGCTTTGAGATTGCTAGATATTGGTTCTTTCGGTCTTCAGTCTTTTTTTTTTTTTTTAANCTCAAGGAAAAACACGATTATCTTTCAAACAATGTTTGAGAATAATTTATTATGCGTCATCTTATTGGTAATAATATGCGGGTTTATGATAATGTTTGTTACAGGAGAGGTAGTGAAGCCTCACTACAGACTATGTTGGTCTTCTTTTTCTCGGTCATCTATTGGCTCGTCAGCTTACGGGCTTCTCACCGGAAGAAGGTACCCATTCTTCTCCTCGTCTCCAGCTTCATTGGTTCTTTTATGTACGTATTTTCTTCCCCTTAGAAAAAGTTAGTGAGTGTTTACATTTAGGATTCTGAGTACTTGCGGAAAAAAGAGATTACTTTCGACATCTACATATGCCAACTTTTTTGGGAAAAATTGGAGATTTAGTCACAACAAATTGACACCAAATGAGAAACAGTCTGGTAGTTGCGTTGATTTTACAAAACACTGTCGGCAAAGTCGGTCCCTGTGACCGGTTGCTGACATGGATATTATTTTTTAATTTTTTTTTTCGTACACGTGGCAACCGACTAACATATCCAACTCAATAGCCGGTCAATTGACCTGCTTTTGTCGGTGAAAGGACCAAAAGTCGGGTTTTTTGACAGTTACATGATGTTTGTAAAATCAACGCAACCACTGAACTATTTCTCAATTTGGTATCAGCTACGTTACTAAATCTCCAAATTTTCCCAACTTTTTCTGCATTTGCTTCTACATCATTTATCGGAAGTAGGAGTCGCATTTTCTGATTTTGTTGGGGAAAAAAATGTGTTTGACATAATATTAAATTGCCCTCTCCTAAGTACCCGTATAATGGACATCATCGTTTTCATCTTTCTATCTAAAAGCTAAAAAGCACAGTTTTTTTTTTTTTTTTTTTTTTTTTCTTTTTTTTTGCCAACAATCGATTACCAAATCTCTTTCTTACTTATTTTATTCGGATAAATCTTGGTCTGCAGCATTCTGTATTCTCCTGGACCCACTCTCCCTGCAAAGTTGCCATGGATAGTAATCCCCTTGAAAGAATATTGGCATATTTGTCACAACTCAGTCTATGCGTGCCTTGAAGATCGGTCAAATCTTTTGCGTATTTGACGAGACATAGTTACACTTGCCTAGCGAGTTCAGGTCAGGTTCATGAGATTCTGTTTATCAAGTTACTATTTTGTAAACGTCCGTGAAGATTCTTGTCTCGATATGTTTGTTAGTTTTAAATTTTATCTGCCTCTATTGCATACAATGTAAAAGCCCTTTTCTACTACATTTTTTCCCCCCGAGTAGTGGAAATTTGGATTGGCAGTGATATCTCTTAGAAGGATTTTTTAAGAAGCATTGAATTTGTTGCTCGGCCTTTTATCAGGTGGCCCTTTCGGGCCTTTATGCGGCCCGACCCAATTCAATTTTAGTTTTATTTTATTGAGAAGGGTTATATCTACATTTGCTCATGCGTGAGGAAAAAAATGGTAAAAGCACGTTCTTTTGCTCTTCTAGTTAGATGGTTAGTACTACAAATTAACGTTTTAATCAAATTTTCAACTCCAACACATAGAACATGAATATTTTACTTCAAATTTACTTATACGTAATCTTGGATTATAAGGGTGATATATACTCATCCAACGTATAATTAACAACAATAACATCATGATAGAACATAGGTGGTTAACCGCCCAACTTGGGTTTGGGCTGACCTGATAGGTTTAAATGTTTTTGTAAAAAAATAAAAAGAAAAAAAAATAATCTTTGGGTCAAGTCCGTTGCCCCTCCAGGTCAGATGAATCTTGATATATTCCAGTGAATATTTTTAAGATTTTGTTGTTATTTTTTATAAAAATAAATTTAAAAAGGCAATTCAACAAAAATGCAATATACAATAAACTGTTTCATTTATTTTGAACAATATTATAGTATGTGATAAATAAGAGCTTTCATCATATTCATAAAATATAAAATAGTATACAATCTCGTTTTTAATTAGAAGATTTTTTATTTTTTTTTTCAAAATTAAACTATACCCAACCCCGGCTAAAGGGGTTTTAACTTTTTAACTTTTAAAACCCATTGACCTCCCCAAACATTTCATCAAACACCTTGCAAACGGCAAAGGGACCAAACCTCAAATGCTCTCACCCAGTGTTTTTAAAAGCGCAGCTTAGCGCGCTGCGTCACGCGAAATAGCGCAAATCTCCTGAAAAACGCGCCATAGCGCCTGTAATTTAGCGCAGTTCCAACATAGCGTACGCTTTTAATGACGTGGCACGCATTTTTTTAATAGCGTACGCGATTTTTGCTATGGCTTAAATTCTGCATGCTATTTGGGACCCTAAACAAATTGAAGGCAGAAAATTGAAAAAAAAAAAGAAAGAAGAACAAAATTGAAGGCGACGAAAATCACAATCAGAAACTCAGAAAGCAGAATTCACGAAACCCTCATTTCACTTCTCTTCATCATCTCCCTCTCGGCCTCTCCACCGCAGCCTCCAAGGATCCACCACAGCCCAGCTCCCTTCATCATTTCACTTCTCACATCCTCTGTTTCCTCGACTCTCGTCTCTCGCTCTCGCCTTTCGCCCAGCTCTCGGCACCCCCAAAGTCCCTTCTCCTCGGCTCTTTGTACCCTACATCCCTTGCACGGTTGCACCTCGACTTTCAACTCCAAAGGTATCATTTTGTTTTACATTTGAGATTATTAATAGCTTCAGTGAATGATTTCGTTTTCTCGCTCTCGCCTTTCATTTTGTTTTTTTCTTTTTTTGAAGCTGCTTCACAGAACATGAATTGAAATTGGCCCTCTTCTAGTGAATTATTTCGATTTTTTTTTAAATTAGAGTGAGATAAAAGGATTGATGGAGATTGATGTTTGATTGCATTTTTTTTATGTGTGTTTTTCGATTTTTTTTTTTAAATTAGAGTGAGATATAAAGATTGATGGAGATTGATGTTTGATTGCATTTTTTTTATGTGTATTTGCCTATTTGCTGATTGGATCTGGCTATTTTTTTTAATGATTCAGAGTATATAGAAGACTAGAAGTATAGAACAGATCTATTTAATTTGATGATTCTATTGTAGTTGAATTGTGTCCTGATTCTTGAATATCTGAGTATGGAACATATAAGACATAAATGAATTGTGTCCTGAATTATTTCCATTTGGTAATGGAACATCAGTGAGGTATTTAAAGAAGTATGCAGTTGTTTTTTATTAGAATGATTGATTAAATGTTTCTAAACTTAAATTATTAGTTTGTTTATTATTAAGGTTAAGAAAATGGATCCAAACATAACTGAATAGATGAAGAGATTACTGTTTTGTTGTGATTACTGTTCTTATTACAGTCAAATAATGAATTGGATGAGGCCAATTATTTTTAGATTTTGAGTTTTTACTTTGAAGATTATGACTTTGGGTTGTTGTATGAACTAATATTTGAATGTTGTTTTTTAGATTTAATGTCTAACTTTATGGTTTAAGACTATTTTAATTATTTATTTACTTGTATGGTTATATATATTATTATTTTTGGCATTTAAAGTGAACTTACGCAATGCGCTACGCTATTTACGCTACGCAATATCAGGACCAAAACGCGATGCGATGCGCTATGCGCGTTTTAAAACACTGCTCTCACCCCTCGTCAGAAAACCCAAACCCGCCGCCATCGTCGCCGTGGTTCCGCTTCTCCCCGTCAGATTCTCCACTCTCCGCCACCCTCATCCCGGCCCGAATCCGGACCTCCAATCCCTAGTCCTCTCCCACTACCGCGCCGGGAAATTCCACAGCTTACTCCAAAACGTCGTCGCCTCACCCTCCGTCCTCCTCACCGCCTGCCACAACCTCCGGCGGCCCGTCAAGACCCCAACGCCGTCGGACCTCACTCTCGATTCGGTCTTGGCCCGCTTCTTCTCCCTCCACGACATCTCCTTACAGCTCTCGAACAACTGCCTGGACGTTGAATCGAGCTGTGTTCGGTTTTCTACGGAGGACCCCAAATGTGAGCCACTTGTGCTGCCCGATTTGAAGCTTAAGGTGGTACTCGAAGCTATTAGGATTGTACTTGAGACCATTTACGATGACAGGTTTGCCACATTCTCGTACGGTGGCAGGGCAATCATGGGTCGCCACACGGCCGTTCGGTACCTGAAAAACTCGATCGAGAATCCTAGCTGGTGGTTTACAGTTAAATTCGACAAGGGGCTGTTTGGGCCTGAGCATGTGGATAAGCTGTGTGTAATGCTCGGGAAAAAAATTGAGGACAATGCACTTATTGATTTGATAAGAAAATTGTTCGAGTGTAAGGTACTCACGATTGATCTTGGTGGGCTTTGTTTAGGCAGAGGGCTGCCGCAAGAATGCTACTTGAGTTCGATTCTGATTAATGTATCCTTCAATAGTTTTGATCAGAAAATTCAAGAATTGCGGTTAAATGTGAATAATTCGAATCCGAAGTTTAAAGAAAGCGAGCTTGCCCCTGATGGATTGGGTCCAAGGCCCGTTTCTTACAAGCCCTTGAAGATTTATGCAGTCCGGTATCTAAACGAGATATTGATCGTGACATCGGGGAGTAAGATGATGACATTTGATTTAAAGAATCATGTTGTGGATTTCCTAACGCGTGATCTGGGTTTGAATGTGGACAGATCGAAGACTGTAATTCACAGTGCTGTTTCTGAAAAGATCGATTTTTTAGGAATGGATCTTCAAGCAGTAGCCCCTTCCATAATTCGGCCACGAAAGACAGAGAAAGCCATCCGAGCCCACAAGAAGTATCTCAGGCAGAAAGAAGTCCGGCTTCTGGAGCTGAAAAATAAACGAGAAAGAAACCGGAAGAAGCTGGGGATGAAGCTGTTGAGCCACGTGCATAAAAAATTAAGACGTGGGAACAATTTCGAATTAGATTTCCAGATAGAAAACGAGGTTAGAGAGATCTTTGCAACATGGGGTCATGAAGTGGTCCGTGGGTTTTTATCATCCGTGGACGAGCGTTGGGAGTGGCACCGGAGATTGTCTGGTGGAGACTTTCTTTCTTTAGCGAGGATTAGAGATCAACTGCCACGAGATCTTGTCGAAGCCTATGATAATTTCCAAACCCAAATCGACAAGCATTTGAAGCCCGTGAAGGCCAAGAAGAAATTAGACGAAACCTTGAGAAAGAAGGAGCAAGAAGAGGAAGAAAATTACTCTCGGAAGACAGTCGATGATCTGACTAGACGCCTCGTAAAAGTCGAGGCGCCTTTGGATCTTCTAAAAAAAGCCGTTAAATTAGTCGGAATCACTAACAAAATGGGCCGGCCGAGGCCCTTGAGTTTAATCACTGTTCTCGAGGATGTTGACATTGTTAAATGGTATGCAGGGATCGGTAAAAGATGGCTCGATTTTTACCGTTGCTGTCATAATTTCCGGAAGGTGAAAATCATAGTGAGCTATCATCTCCGATTCTCATGCCTTTTGACACTTGCCGAAAAACACGAGGCCACGAAACAAGAGACGATGAGGCATTTCACGAAAGATCTGATTGTTTTGGATGCGATCGGGGACGAACGAGCGTATTTTCCTTCGGAAAAGGAGATTAAAATGATGGGGGAAGGGAATCTTGCGGACCCGATTCCGGTTGATGGGTGTTTGACCATGGTTTTGACCAGGCTCGAATCGAACGAGCCGTGGGCCTGCTGTGCAGCCCATTTTTGTGAGTGTAGAGATGATACGGTTGTTGTGTACCGGATTCATTTGCTGCAAAAGTATCTGAATCTCGACACGTCGGACGAGGGAGAGTGGGTGGCTCGGATGGGGGCGGTGCACGATAGCATGCACGGGAAGTGCTTGCCTTTGTGCTCGGAGCATGTTAGCGAGCTGTACATGGGGAGGTTGACTCTGAGAGATGTTGATTCTGCTGGTTTCTTGGAGGTTGATTGATGATTGTTTGCTTTGTGGCATTTTTTTTTGTAGAATTTTGTTCTTGTGGAAGGTAAACGGAATGTTGTATTTGGTGGTTTTTTGTAGTTTGAGATGTTTTTTGTAGTTGAGATGAAGGCAATCGATATTTACTTTGTGTGTGATTAGTTATTTTATTAATTGAAAATCTCTGTCTTTCTAAAAAGACTAGGCTTGCCTAAAAGTTGCATAAATCTATAATAATGAAGCAAAGGGAAGAATAGAGAAACCCATGTCATAAGAGCCACATTAAAAGCTCCTATAAATTAGATAAAAGCAACCAAGTTTTGTCAAGTTTTTGTATATTTTTTTCGGAAAGAATAGATTTTATACCTCGAAGGGGAATTTTACAATAAGAGTCCAAGAGCTAACTAACCCAACGAATCCACCAAGAGGTGTAATCAGGGAGGAATGTTAACAAACACCCTATACTAAAAACTAGAACCAACTGGAATAAGGTATAATTGTAAAGGTACTATATACATTCTAAAAAGACATTGAAAACATAACAAGCCGCTTCTTAGTTAGCA